ACGTTGGCATTCGCCATAATAATGCATGTTTTCAATTGCGTGCTGCAAACAGTACAGTAGTTGCAGCATTTTGGATCTACAGCAGTCGCAATTCTGCATTGTTCATTTGGGACGATTTGGGACGTGCCTGAGTGAACTGAAGCTCTGGGCCCGAACTCTTCAAGGCTGAAAGTCAAGACTCAAATGATTGCTGGTATCTCAAAGTTCAGCAATCGAATCGATGAACTCAGCCCGGTGATTTGCTCCCTGATCCCTTTGAAATCTCGAAAAGTAGGGCTCAACCCAGGCAGATGCAAGAAAGCAAGTTGGAGATCTGAGAAGATCAATAACAGAGGCCAGATGTCCTGAATGTGATTGGAAAGCATGTGATTATGTTCTTCCAATTTTTCTCATTGCCCTAATGCAGGGGCCAGATCTTGCGTGTATTCTCTATATAGATTCCCATTAGCATTGGCAGGCAGACGAGTTCAAGCGAGAGCGCCTATCTCAACCAGTGTCCGTGAGATTCTGTGAGCAGATATTGACCCTTCATATCATATTCATATCATTCATATCCATTCATTCTTCAGATCCACTGCAGTTGGATCTGACTTCAGTGACTAGAGGAACACATGGCTGACACATGGAACACGAGGAAACGACACAGGATGGGATACCGTGACCTAGGAATGATGTCGCATGGAGAGATCGACTTGCAGAGGTGCGGGTTGATATGAAAAGCGAAGCAGTTTTGTTATCCAACAGTACCTAGGCCAGTTATAACATGTTATAACCAGTCACTTATAACAATATTAGCAGTTAACTTATATCCACTTATATCCACTTATATCCACTTATAACCCAGTTACTAAGCAGTTAACTAATCCCATGGCTGCCATGGCCCATCTAAGTAGGAATGGTAAAAGGTGACCAGAAAACACAGTGAAACCTTTGAGCTTCCTGTGGCGTTCATCCAGGCAACTGCCAGTGCAGAGGACTACTTTCAGCGAAGTGACGAGCTGCACGAATTGAGTGTGCAGCAGGAAGAAGAAGTGGTCCCCGACTTAGTCGAACAGTGTGATTCCTCATGTCAGTGGAGACATTGATTTGATTTTGATACAGATATGGTTGGTCAGATATGTGATATTTGATTCTTTTGGTGCCTTTTAGTGCTCCGGACTCGTGCGCCTTCCAAAGGCAAAGCTTGACTTTGTCGTTACAGTAATAAACATGGCTTTGTTGAAAGACAATGTATTGCCAATGGTATTTTGGGGATTTGATCATTCCAAGCAGCACCAAAACAGTTCTCCCTGAGCTGGGTTCTAGCAAAATCAAATGAAATTCAGCACACGTCAGTGCCCAAATTGTTTATGTCTTTTAGCAAGTTTGTCGCGGTCTTCTCACTCTTTTTCACGGATTCACGGAAGAGTCACAGACTTTGCACATTCTGGATATTTGAAGAGCCAGTTTTGCCATTGTTTTAGTTTTGGGCATTTGTGCACTACACATCAGTGCGGTGGGAGCACTTTTCCCGTTTTTTTCTCCTGCGATCTCCTGCGTTTTTTCCGGTGCTCTTCTTGTGCATACTGTTACAGTGATTGGGCGCTACACAGGATATAGTAATGTCATCCATATGCATTTCTATATACTGTTATTCTATATATTGGGTACTTGGGTGTCCTTAATCCACTTTCTTTATCTTTCTTTTGGGTAGAATCAAACAACCTGGTCAAAAAAATGCATGGCAGGAAGAAACGAATTTTCATTTTTTAAAACGAGTAACACTCCGGCAATTTCCCGTAAGCAAAAGCCTTCTAGAAGCATGGCGTATTTTCAGTTTAAAACATGTATTTTTCTCCGCACCCCCCAAGAAAAGATAAACAAGTAGGTAGTAGATTATGGAGGCCGTGGGTACCTCTTATATCTATATGCTATACGATTCTATAATTATACACATTATGATATATATATATATATATACGTATATATATATATATTATGATATATGTGTCAAATCTGTGAGCGCGTGACACTCGCAAGGCTAAGCTGTCCAGAGCGGTCAAGGCCAAAGGACGGGGTTTCACCAATCGTGGTAGTGGTACCGGTAGCCGAACTCGCTGCATGTTCGGATGGCAAGCTGAGCCATGGCTGATGCTGATGTGCGACTTCAGGAGAAAGGAACAACATTGTTCAGCTCCAGCTGGACCACGTGTCTTGCACTGAGCTCTTGTCACTATCCATGTGATTGAGATGCGACATTTTGAATTGGTGGTGAAGACATGTGAAGACCATTGGGACGACATCAGGCAGTTATTGACTGAAGAACAGAAGAGTGGGGGACTCAACTTCTGATTTGGCCTGGCCTGGCCGCGTGGCCTATTGCTGGATGCTGCAGGCTCCCAGGTCTCAGGTCCCAGGCCCGAGACGAGGTCGCCTGGAAGAGAAGGTTGAAGCTACGCAGGCGGAAGGTGCTCAGATTTTGAATGAGGCCAGACATCTCCAGCACTTTCCAAACACGGTGCTCTTGGATTTATGATATTATTGATATTTATGATGCAGCGAAATTGCGTCTAAAAGCACCCAGAAAAGAAAAAAACATTAAAAAAACGAGATGCAGAAGATGCGCGCAAGTATTGCAAGTTTCATTCCATGATTCCAAGACGTACTGTACCCATAACTCTTACATAAAAGGCTACTTGCATTATATGGTGATCAGTGATCTGGGTAGCCTGTCCCATCAGCTACTTTTTTTTTTCGCTGCCTCCATGCCACAGTCCTTTCTAGTGCTTGATAGCAGAAGAATAATCCCAGAAACACACACAGACCATTGATGACTATTGGATCTATTCCGGGTATGGGGGTATTTGATATCAAGGGGGTGGGATTATAGCACCAGTTGGTTTCCCTTCAGCATTACAACATTCCATGTGAATTGGCTTCCCAGGCACGTTGGGCATCAGCGGAGATGGAGGAACGGTTTCGGTTGCAACGTGCCGAACAACTCCAAGAAGAACGACGCCAAAGGCGGCTTGGACAAAAGCTCTTACCCACATTTACCCACTGGGTGTCTAGCATAGCCAACCTGCTGTAGCCTTTGACCTCAAGAAAAACACCCTCAAATGATCTCCAGTGCATCTACTGCTAGCATCAGTTAGCAAGGACAAAACGCACCATTGTCAGCTCTGCAGGTGTCGCTTAGTGATGCTGCAGCAACAGCTGCAAGTGGCTCCAAGCGGCCTTGAAAAGCTGCGGCGCCATCTGGCAGAGGAGCGGCATTTGTGAGTTCAAAGTGCGAAGCCTTGGAGCAGCAAGGCCACTCTAAGATAATTACAAATTTGTAGGGTTTAATATTTTAACATATTCAACCATCAAACATATGGGGATATAATATGATATGATTATTGATAAATGATGATTGGTTGAGATACAATTTTCGGACCCAGAACACGCATGAACACGCTGCAAGGCAACAAGGTTGTTGTGAGGATATGGCGGGTGTGGCGTTGTGATGCTGGGCCTTTAGGAAACTTCCTGGCTCTGGCAGGAGCGCTCTAGTTCCAAAGAGCGGCTAAGAAGGTTACTTGCAACTTGCCAAGGTTTTGTGCTCTCAAGCTGTTCCACAACATGCACTGCCTACATCTTGTAATCATCGACTGGTCAAGGGTATTGTATTCAAGACCTTTCAGGCTTTAGGATCTGCTGCAAAGCCAAACGAGGCCACGTTTGATGGGCCACGACTGGCAAGAAGCCAGCCCCTCAGAGTTGGGCAGTTGAAGCTTGGTGACTCTGGGGACAAGGCACGCATATTGATATATATATATATATATATGGATCATATGGCTAAATAGTATTGATATGTATTGATATTGGCATCAAACCGTCCAAGACACTGAGGCACTGCCACAATTAGGACATGAGGTGACATGACCCTGAATATGATGCAACTTCGACAACTGCCAGAGTCGGCATGTGTGTACTTGTTTGTTGACGAGGAGACATGAAAATTGCGTGAATGTGAATTGTTTTTTTTGCTTAGCATGCTTTCGAGAAAGTTTCAGCACAGCTTTAAAACATAGTTACATGGTTGAGATTCGCATGAAGAGGACCCATGTGCTATGGCAGATAGATTAAGCATATTTCAAAACTGGCAGAATGCCAGTGAGGGAGAAATTGTTCAAATGCCAACAGTATGACTCTATATGATAGTCTATTGTCAAATATGAGCAACCGACAAATTATTGTAATACTAAGTTAGTCGTGCTTCACCTTTGCCTTGCTGAGGGGCTTATACCGATACCCCTGTTTTACATGAGTCGCCTCAAAATCTGAGAACACAAGTCCTCACGACCGATAGGGGACGACCTTAATTTGTGCATGGCATGAAAATGAGGTAATTTTGACCGCTATTCATATGCATTGATTTATCATGCTTTATCATGATTTATATCACGGATTTATCATTGGTTTATTGATTTTTCAATATTTATTGAATTCATTGGCCACGTTTCTCTGTAGGCGCGTCCTGCTTAGGTTCGGCAACCTGATCTCCCAAGGCGATGAAATCGAGGGCAATGGCATTAGTAATGGCTACGTAGCTGGAGAATGAGAATATATTGGGGATATCAACAGGATAGGATCAACGGATAGGATCAACATGGATCAACAATTGCTGCAATGATTGACAAGTGGAAGAGAAGTGCCATGAAGTGCCTATTCGATCCTATTCGGATGCTGTAAGCCAAAGGGCATGTCATCACAAGATATCACAAGCATGAGCATGACTGAAATTTACGAAGTATATTGAAGTCTTCAGTCTTCTGAATTCTGTGCTCCAAAGCCTCTTTGGCACCTAGTGAGCTAATTCGAATGATGCTTCGCTTGAATTATTTTGAATGCCAAACAAGTTGTTTGTTGCTTGAGTGTCCTTGCCTGGTATGAATCTTGGGATATGATACTCATTGCATTTGATGTCGGACAATCCATGTGCAGTGCAGTCTTAGAGGATCCGCTCAATTGTAGCCATGTCATTTGTGCAGCTCTGGTTGTTGATGCCACTCTGCCTGCTCACCCTGATTGTGGAAGACAGTTCTGCCACAGATGTCCAGCCGCACTTCGGTATACCCTGGCAGCAGAGAAGAAGTTGTGAAGAGTTGCCTGGTTGGCAGGAGGCTCTGCTCCATCCAAGCTGTTTACATGTGGCGCGTAGTGCATTACGACTTGGGGGAGTATCCTGGCCTCAGGTGAAGCAGAAGGCTTTAGATGCTCAAAGAACACCAGAGACTCCGCTGTGTGCCGAGGCGGTCTTTGAGCATTTGGGCGGCAAGCAGACGACCCCGGATCGACTGCTGGCCGATGAAGGTAGCCTTTGCACTGCATATGCAGCATTGCTAACCAATCAGATGTTACAGCTCCGTTGGCACGAGATTCACGCTGAAAGAGAGACCCGCTGCTCTGATGCCATTGCTGGGCTTGAGGTTTACAGTTCCCGGCGGCATGAGGCAGCTCTGAGCCCAGAGCCTACCAGTGTTTTGCATCTTTCACGAAGACCTGCGGGTCTGGGCTCCAAGCGTTTCTTGGCATTAGCAGATGCGAGATTAATGAGTCCATGGAGACGAAAAGTGAAGCCTCGATGGCAGAAAGTCTGGGACTATGCGAAGAAAATGGCGGATGGTGAGCAATTTCCGCCAGTGTCAATTGCATGGAGGAAGGAGCTGCAGGAATGGACCTGGCGGGATGGTTGCCATCGCTACTTTGCTTCTCTCGTGAGCGGCCAGTTTCTGACGGTGTCTTACAAGGATCCCAACTGAAAGCAGGACTACATCAGGACTGGCAGCTGGTGGCCATCGGGCCGTGCGGCGAGTCCTGCAGAATGTCCGAAATAATGGGCATGGCATGGCATGGGAAGCATGGAAGGGATGCGAGCGGGTGAAGTTAAAGATAATCCAGTCTCACCTGATGTATCCTGATCCGTAAATTCATTCAAATAGATTCAAACAGGCTATCTCAGCATATCTCGGCTCCAATTTGGTTGTAAACTGGATGAATGAAATATTAATGAAATCGTGTAAGGTTTTCGCATAATGCATATTTGGTACTGGGCTTGATTGCCCCCAATGCTGTTCCACGATTGAATTTGCAATCCCTGCAACCCTTGTTTTTTAAATTTCTGAAGCCATATTGTTGAGCGGCAATCTGAATGTCACGGATAAAATGTGATTTGAAACAAACACACACACACACATGAATGCCCTATTGGATCATCCTATGCATGCATCTAAAACGGAGCCTGGATGTCCCAAAGTTTGGTACCATCAAACATCATCAAACTGAGGCACAAATTGAACCACCAACGGGTCAAAACTTTTGAGAAGAGTTTGGGCGCTCAAAAGCATTGCATTTTGTTTGGTGGTTGTTTCTGCATCGATTGTGCGGACAATATGCTGGAAATATGCTTTGCTTAATTTTCAGAAAGCGGCTATTTCCCAGTCATCGGCTCTCATTCCTAGCAAGGTTACATGCAGAAGTCATGCGACCCAAAGTGATGCCTTCAACTTCGAAAATCAACCTCAATGCATACTCATATAAATAGATATAAATAGCATATCTAGTGTCTTAATTCTACTTACGTAGTTTATCTTTGTTTCTTGAGGGAAGATAACTTTTCTTTAGTAAAGAGCTGGTTCTGCCAGGCGTGGTGCAGTCCTGGCAGATCAGCCGATGGCGAAGATGACTTGCGTTGGATGAAGATCACTGCATGTGCTGCAGGAAAATCCTCTGGAAACTAAGATCTGAACGTGTGGCTTAGAATTGGGGCAGTTGCAGAAGAAACTGTAGCTTTCGTATGCTTTCACTGCAGCTGTCCACGAAGTATAACCCAAGATTTAACATGTCCAATGGCTTTCATGCTGTCAAAGTGTTCTTACAGAATGTGTCAATTTGTCAAAAATTGTCAAAGGAATCTCCAAGTAAACGGATCCGAAATCATTGCAATTGTGCCTACACCGTCCTAGTTGTACATTTTTGTATGAGTTTTTTTGCTGCCTTTGAATCCCCCCGGATGCAGGAGGGAGACCTTGCGGATGTGGCTTTGCCAGGTGCTAGACCCGAGATCAATGACAGCTTCCAAGAGAGGTTGCGTCCACATTTCACAATGGATCACAATGCCGTCTTCATCCATCTTTACTTCTGTTTCTTTTTCGTTGACATATTTTGACATGCTTGCCGGATCGAATAGACCGAGGACAGAAGTTGTCGCACAGTGGCAAAGACATGACAGAAGTCAAGGCCTGGATTCGCCTGGATCACATTGAGACCTGGGGCGACGTGTTCCCTGCCGTTGAAATCAACTCATTGTTCCCTGGATATCCCTGGATAGGTTGCGATCGTATGCAATCGTGATCTCTGGTAGTTGGATGTAGTTGGTGTGTCCAACAGCAACACACTATCGCAGGGAATCAGCAGCCGTCCAGCAGGAGTTGATGCTGCACCTTGGGATGTCACCGGGAGTGCCGAGGGGCAAGGTTAGATTGTGGCTGGACAGAAAGAAACAGTTGACCCAGGGACCCAGGGACAATTTCAATGGACGAAATGTGTAGAAATGTGTTCTGTTCATGAGAATCATCCTGTTTCGTAGCATCAGGCATCTGCAGCATCAGCCTTCTCCTGTCATTTCCAACTGGAACAATCAGTATATTGATGTACTTCGCGAAGGGCTTCGCAAACGGCGATGCCCCTTCCAAACCCATACCAAAATTGAATTTGCCTGTTTGGATTGTTGGGACATATTTGGACTCTGGACAACAGGAGTTCTCAATTGTGTTAAGAAAATAAAACAACCGATACACGCAACGAAAACTTACGGACAAAAAGAGGGGCAAAGTTTTGTCTGCAATCTTGATGGACTTCCATTGCAGTTGGTGTGTTGTTGTTTACAGCATATAGCGCTTAATTCTGAGACGGGCTCACCCTTCTTTGGCCGGGTTCGGCGGATTCTTTGCACACTTTGGGGTTTGCACTGCCCCAATCCATCTTCGGTGCTGCTCCGGTTGCTGAGGCAAAAGTTGAGCGGCCGGTATGCAGCAGATTAGTACGGGTGAAAAAATGGGAACTCCAAAATGCACCCGGATTGCCAACAGACCATATTTTCTGATTTGGCACTTTAACATGTTTCACAGAGCAGCCCAGAGCAATGGTGCCTTTCAGTTGACATCTGTCTAAACGCACCAGTGGAAGGCCAGCTCATTGCCACAGCGTGGTCCAAACATGAAACGTTGCGACACGAAAAAGAAAGCCAATATCCGACGCGGCAGCACAAAAATGAAGAAGGATGCAGACAAAATTGATCAAAGTTGTGACCCTGAGAAGTCCTTCCGAGTGAGCAACATATCCTTTCCAACACGAGGGACAGTCAGGACATATCGTTGACTGCTGAGTTGGATTAACAGAAGCTGCGTTGGATTTTTTCATCAACTGGTTCAAGGTGTCAGGAAATTCAGGCCTTTTCCTGTCGGCTTCGCGGCTGGTGCACCACAGTGTGCTGGGCTAAGACGTCCACAGTGCCTTCCTCCGTGTTGAGGGACTGCATAGTACAGTATCCGACTTTGTAGGGCTCTATGCAACTATTTCATGGTCGTCATTTAAAATTTTTGCGTGCCTGCTGGTAATACAAAATAACTCAAGCTGGCGTCTGGCATCTCTTTCTTTGTCTTTCCGTGCTTTTCCCACGGTCTTTCTTTGCCAACGGAATTTGCAGGTGCTGCTGGCTGGGTTTTGCCGCTGACGGGACATCCGAGCAGCAGAGCAGCATGGCTGGCGCCTCAGGTTGCCCGAAGATGATGCCTTTTGGACGATGTTTCGTGATATTTTTGGTCAATCCATGCCTTCACAAAGGACTCTTTTCAGCAGTATGTGGGTGAGTTCCGAGATTTGGCCAAGAGGCCAAGGTCCTTCCTGACACAGGTTCCAGAGCTGGTGGGTGGCAGGACCTTATTTCATCAATATCGCAAAGCTCAAAATGCCAGGCAACTCACAGTTTCTAGATCGCTAGGACATGCTAGAACTATTTACTCTACTCTTTTGTTTCTTCGGTGCAGATCGAAAGAACTTCTGTGTCTGTTACTGTCTGTTTCCCTGGAAATCACAGAACTTTGGAACCCAGATGGAACCCAGTAACTGTCAGTATACTGTCAGTAACTGTCAGCTTTCTGAAGGTGCTGAGTTTGGGCTGCATCGTCTTCTCTGCGCTGATGCTTTGGAAGGGACTGATGGTGGTCACCAAGAGTGAAAGCCCAGTGGCTGGGAGCCCGGGCTGTTACTGAGAACTGGCAGTGCAGTTCTAGTATTATATACAAGTTCTAGAGTCTTTAACATTGTTAGATAGTCTTAGAATGTCTTAGAGAATATGAATCAAGATATCAAGTTGGTTTGCGAAGCCTAGACTCCTAGACATTGGGTGATTTTGCAATGCTTGTGCAGTGTTTGCAATAAGGGATCGATAGGCTCTTAGTCAGCCAGATGAGTCAAAAACTGTAGGCCTTCATACATGGCAGACGTATGATATGGCTGAATGAAGAAGTGTACATGTGCAGTAGTCAAAACCATTCAAAACCTATATATCTATGCACCTTGTTTTTTTTGCGCAAGAAACCATGGTGTACCGTGAGGATCCATGAGGCAGTTGAATTTTCATGGCTGCTTTTTTGTAACTCATGAAATCAGTGGACCAGGTTGTTGTGCTCAGTGGTAGCATGGAACCAGGGCTACAGAGAGGAGATATTTTGCTTCTCGGTTGCACTGCTTGTGCTTGCTACGTTGCCATATGTTGCCATGGTACCTCCACTGCTTGGGTCAAGGATGGTCAAGGGAATTCATTTTGACAGAGACACAGCCTCACGATTTTCGATTTGAATCAATTTGCGTCAAACTGTAACTTGGAAGGATTTGGAGTCTGCAAGTTCCTGGTTTTGTCCACCACCAGAGTCGAATGCGTTTGCACGCCAGGTTTCTTACTCTCTTTTCAGAGCCGCAATCATCTCAGTCGCAACTGGTTTTCTCCAGCAAACTTTTGCAAAGTGTCCTTCTGCACTTTCACGAGACGGACCTGTTTGCCTTTTTGGCTTGTGGGAAACACTGGATATCATTCTGATACACGTAGATTCAGGTTCAAACCGGGTGATATCGTTGTTTTCCAGATCGAGGGCAGAGCGCAGCTGGCGAGTTGCAGAGTACCGCAAGCTGATCGCTTCTTCTTCAGCATGGCCGTTATATTCTGGAACATTCTGGAACTGTCTCAAACTCCCTTTTAAATCCTGGTATTGTTTGCCATGGGCCGACGGGAATCATTGACACTGTTTCTTTGTTCGTTTGCAGCACTGCCAGGACATCCCGATCGTTCATAGAATGATGAACGTACATGAAAAGGCAGTCCACAGCTCAGATTGTTGGGTGCCAGGTGCTTGCTGTACTTTTTTAAACACAGATTTTTGTTCTGATTGTTTCCCCATGAATCTGGAGAAGTTCAACAGTCAGGATGGAAAGCTTGCTATGCTCACAAAAGGTGACAACAATCAGGCTGGAGCTGGGACAGCTCTGCACATCGGATGAAACTAGACAGATTGTTCCGAATGCCTTGCTGTCTTTGAACGAGAGGACTTCCACGCTTCTCAATTTTTCAACCAGCCCAGCCCTTGTGCCTTGCAGGTAGATGACAGAGGTCTATACGCTGCAAGGCAGCTATTCCTCAGCAAGAAAGAGATAATGGGTCGGGTCGCAACCTCATCTACCCCAGCTGTGAGGAAAAGAGGGCCGGCCTTGAAGCCTATGGATTTGCAAAACCAAGGCACAGGCCTATTTGCCTTATGTCGGGATGGTCACCATCTGGTGGGATGCTCAGAAACTCCAATGGAACTATATTATATAATATTTTATACGTCTAATTAATATACCTTTGAAAAGGTGCATCACACTCGTTTTGCACTGTTTGCGAATATGTCTACAAGAGTACTGAGCACTTCTGCAGCACTCTAGGCGTGTCGTTTGAATCGCCAGGTTGAATGACTATCCGTGGCTGAAGTATGTGCTCATTGGTTCTATGGGCTTTTTCGTTTCTGGGCCGCATGACGTGGGCGGGTCATTCAGAGCTGTTCAGCTTGAAGTATTCAAGGGAAGTGGGAAATCTATGGAAATCTAGGTTGAAAAGACAGATTTTGGGTGAAGGAGGTCCTGTGATGGCCTGTACAAAACGTGCTTGATTCGCAATCCAAGGTGATCATTGGAAGAGAATAACCTCGTGCAGATGGGTTGACTTTGACGATCAGAGGTGGCGGCAAAAAGGCAGCGTTGCAGTTGCTCATCCTAGAATCTACAGACAGGGGTTTTTAACTCGGAGACATGGTTTATCAAAGACTTCATCATGGGCAACCTGCAGCGTAGCTGACACTGGAGCGATTCAACAGAGATCAATGGCCAACAGCTGTCAAAAGGGATGGAATGGATCAACTGGAAATCACAAGGTCACACAAGACCTAACAACGAAAAGCACCCATGGCACTCGGCAGCTCAAACGCTGCTGTTTTCACAGGATCGCCGAAGGCTCAAGGCCTAGGGAGGTTTGGGCCGACACATCGGCAACCGCACGTAGATACCTGGGCGAATGGACCAATGGAAAGGATCAGTTCTGTTGCACCGATCCAAAATTCTTCTTGGTCCATGAGCTCTCAAGTCAACAGTTTAAAGCTGGACTGAGCTCAAAAAAAAACATGCAAATCAGCTGGCAAACTTCTCTGTGGCTTTCTTCATCTGTGTGAGAGCATCCTTGCCTGCTCTCTTGTTCTTTCGTGCACTTGTCTCAAAGCCTGGGTTATATTGAAGCATCCAAACACCTGTGCGCATGAACTGAAGTAAACTTTTGCGACACTCTTGGATTTTCTTCGTCAGAGCATCTGCAAGGAGCCAATCACTAGCAAGCCAAATCAACCATGCTTTTGTGTCTGCAAACGATTGTTTCAGTTGAAAAGCTTGTATGGCTGATCTCACGTTTGACAAACCCAAATATGGACCTTCTTGCAGAGTCACTGCATCAAAACCACCTTTTGAGTCTGTGGCCACAACACCAGGGACTGCAGAAACTTCTTGCTCAGCAAAAGCTAAAAGATCAAGACCCTTTTCAGCGCCAGCACCATTCAGTTCAGCCCAAAGCAAACGAGTTCGAAAATTGACATCCTCAGCTTCCACCATTGCTTGAATCTCAGCATCATTGGACGAAATTGCTACTCGGCGCAATTTCCAAGTACGCCATGAAACCATCACCAGACGGCCGGGAGAACCATCAAGGAGTTCCGGTCCGCCTAGAAAATTAATCAAACCACCTGTGGAAGAGCCATCAGGTCTGTTGTTGTGTGCCTGATCACCCATTGTCACCACCACCATTTGTTGCCAATGGTTCACAGAGGGGATTCGATCAAAACGGAGACGGTGAGGATGCTTGCGAGTCTCGCGGATGACCTGCTGAATCTCTTGAGCCACTGTCATCTTTGGCTCACGTGCCAATTCAGACAACAAGAGATTGCATCTTGCGCAGATTTGAGGTTGAGTCTGCACGGCCAACCACTGCAAAGCACCTAAAGCTGAGCGACACTTGCCAATCTCTGACTTAGTGAGGACTGTCGCCGCATTCTTGAAACGGACTGGATCAATCTCCACATCAGCGAGGTTCTCCACATAAGAGTCCTGGTCAACCATGCTGTAGTTACCTTGGCTACCAGTCCTGCATGTGATGGATGTTGGAGCCCACATAGCGGTAAGCGCCAACTTTGGAACTACCCCACTGATACTCACGGTCAATGGCTGCCTTGATTTTCTGCCACTTGGGATTGGTCTCATCACCGGATCTGTTGAAATCGTCAACATGACCAGCCATGTACCCAATAGTGCGGAAGCGATCCAATTGGTTCACCGCATTCGGGTTTTCCTCTACCCATATCCAGGCACATGGATCGCCAAGGACTTTGTGAGCTCCAAGTCTTCGCAGTCTACGGTCTATGTCAAGCCATAGTCCACGAGGAGCTGTAGTTGAACCATAAAAATCTTTGAGGATTCGCATGATGCCGCCCTCAGAGACGCCAAGTGCAGCACGAAGTTCACGCACTCCTGATGTCCATATGCGGTTCTGCTCCTGGTTCTTCTCGGTCTGGAGAAAAGCCGTTGAAAGATCCATGCCTTCGATTGGCGACTGGTTCTGCACGGAGAGCTGGAAGGTCAGGTGTCTGGTCAAAGTTGATTGAACAGGTGCAGAACTTCGGAACTCAGGATTGAGGAGATCTGGGTGCTGATACCCTAACAAGACGATGCGGGCTTTCGCCTTGCGATCGCCCGAAGGGGTGAACAAAGTGCCAGCATTCTCGTGAGCATCTTGCTGAGAAGCTTGCCGTTCATCTGGTGGAGTGTCTTTCCATGTCAACACCCACCGGCACTTCATTACACGGCCAGAGTTCTTGCCCTCCTCCTCTTCTTCCTTGGAGATGCACTTTCTCACGGCCTCGGACTTGAGAAAAGATGCCACCTCTTTGTCCTTTGCGCGGTCAAACAACTTCTTGAAGTCATCAGTGAGTCGCTCATAGCGAACTTCACAATCACGCATTTGTTGCACCAAGTAAAAGTTTGGCGCCTGGAGAAACTTCTTGAGTTTTCTGTGGCTTGAGAAATCCAACTCCATTTCCATGATATACCCAAACTCAGCTTCTTGGAGAGCAGCATGAAGATCAAGGGTGAGAGCGTTATCATCATCAGTCCGGGGTTTCTTGACAGTATCACCAGTGACAATATCATCGCTATCAACAGCTGAGTGAGGACGCATAGGTCTCATGGATGAGGACGCCAAGGAGGATCTTTTGGAGGAGGCTTCGCGTGAGGAAACTTCTGACTCAAGGAGATCAGTTTTTCGCTTCACACCTGGGTCATTGAGAGAGTTGCCCAAGTCGTCTTCAAAAGTGTCATCAGGCACTTCTGGTAAGAAGTCAGTCTCTTCATACTCATTGACTGGTGGCAAAGCGGGAAGGCGCATTGCAGCACCCTTCAGCGCCTGAGCAGCTTTGTCATTGCCCTGCTTATCCGTTTTGCCGTACAGTCGGCATGAAGGCAACCATGTGGATTTATCTGGTTGAGCTGGTAGATCAGGAGCTTCTACATCATCAGCACCTGGCTCATCGTCCAGCATGTCCACATAATCTCTTCGTGGGAGAAAATCAGTGATTGATTTCCACGACATCTCTTCGCCACCATGTTGAATTTCATGAAGAGCTTCTTCCTGTGAGGTTAGTGGTCTCACAGAGTGAACACTGCAACGGTGAGCTCGGCCGCCAAGAACAACCCATACCACATGGCGGCGGTCACCACCACTCTGGGAAGGCAATAGCTCTTGAAACAGAACCCTTCCAGGTCCCACCCAGTGAGGTTTGATGGTCTTGGTGAAGCCGCTGCGCTTTCCTTTGGCTGCTTCATGTGGAAGGGACTTTCGCCAGACTTTCACCAGTGTTGCAGGTTCAAAGTTCTGGAGAGGCTGTCGGGGACATGAGTTCTTCAGCCGCACAAGTATGTTGTTGGCGCGGACTTGCCGTGCCAAATTCTCAGCTTCGCGTCTGCAAGACAGCAACTTCTCAAATTCACTCAGTGGGTGAGCTTGTTGAAGTTGGAGATGAGTAGTAATGTCTTCATCAGTCCACTGAAAAGAGTGACCGTATGCCCACTGAAAGGGAGAAAAACCATGTGCGTTCTCCGTACTATTCAACGCCGCTGTGCTAAGGGCCAGGCATAGTTCCAAGCTCAAAGTGCCGTCAGAGATGAAGATCTTGTCGGCCAAAAGCTTGGTTTCTTGGACTGCTCGTTCAGCAATTCCGTGAGCCCATGCCTCCTTCTCCACAGGCGGGCTCAGCCACAAATTGTTGGTGTGGCAAAACTCCCTGAAGGCCGCTGAGCACAGCGTATTGGCGTTGTCAGGAACCACCACCAGCGGTTTCGGTTTTTCCGCCAACCAGCCGCGACCAAAAGCTTCGATGACCATCTTGGCATTCTCGTTCCCTTGCTGATTGATATCATAGACCATAAGAGGAACTGTGCTGCGAAACTTCGTTGCAGCATCAATCATCAATAGAAACTTCAGCTTCTTGCGCACGGACACGACATTCCACTCACCAACATCCATCATCACCATATGCCAGGCTTGAGGAAGTCGATTGGTTGATACTGGCGGAATCTTTCCGGAAGACGAACCCCCAGGTCTGGTCGCCGCGCATGCTGGGCATCGGAGACGAAGTGCTGCTTCAATCTGCCACTTTTCTTTGTGAGGCCTTGTGAAACTTTTGAAGCTTGACATTCCACTCGGCAAGCTGCTTCGTGGATGGGATGATTTTGCCATCAGCTTCATGCTTCGACCACCGACCATGGCCATCTTGTTGCCAGCGTGACGAAGCCATTTGAGAGGGATTACTTGCCTTAGAGCTCTGCATGGATTGAGGCCGAAGATCTCCACCAGAGCGTTCATCTTGAGCAGGAGGTAGGACCATTTGTCCATCATCATCAGCCAAATCGGCCGGAATCGCTGGTGCATCTTCAGGAGCAAGCGATGTGGGTGAGTACCCCTCATCAGGGGGAACTTCAGCGATGTCATCAGCCATCTCGGCTGGATTCATCTCCCACAGTTGCTGTTCAAAAGTCGAATTGGGGACGTTGGAGCCCACGGTCAGGAACAGGATGGATTGCCAACGTTCTGGTACAAGTTGAGATTTCCAAGTCTTGGCAATCGCAACAACCATCTTCCAGGGATAGTAGCTGGAACGAGCTGTATCAGAGCTCTCGATCTGGAGATGTTGATGATTACCAACACACGTCTTGGCCTTGTAAAGAGCATGAAAACGAGCACATGTAGTTTTGACCAACCAACGCTTGAGTAGAGGTTCGTGTTCATGACCTGGACGGCCACTAGTCAACCCATACCGACAACCATCAATTCGGCAGGGAAGCCAGTCGCGATCAAGTCGCCACAGTGCGTCTTGTAGATCAAGGAGAACCTGTTCATACCATCCTTGGCAATTGGCAGGCCATTCCCAAAAAACATGTACAGTATGATCATCAATGACATTGCGCTCCAGCCATCTCTTGAGGTTCCTCAACACTTTACGCTCTTTGCGCCGCTTGGATTCCAAAAGTTCCACCCGCTCCGGAGTGTTATAGTTGAGGGAGGTCCAAGCACACCACAACGTGCACCGCATAGAAATCCAGAGCCTCTTCGGACGCTGAATCTTGTAGAGCTCGGTCATGGATTCAAAAGTGTGAGGACGGTTCAAATCGAACCCATTGGCCAGATTGATCCGCTGACATTTCAAACCTTCTTGGGTACATGCCTCAGAAATCCAAGACTGAGGTGAGCAGCAAATCTCCCAAACATCAACCTGATGAGGCTCCACCACAAGGTCGTGGAAGTTGGTGAAGAGGCCAAGCATCATCAATTGGAGCACCTTCACCGCCGCCTTGCCCACCTTGATCGGGACATTCTCGATCACGGTTGAACCTCGGATTGGCTCTGCATCGCTTCGGCAGCACGCTGCTCCAAGGCAATCCGCTCCTCGGCTGAGAGCTGGCTCAGGAGATCCTGAGGTGTCACCACTGGAACTGATGCCACACTCATCTGAGACACCGTGGGTGACTTGGCTCGGGCCTTTGGTGGAGTCACATGTTGCCAGCTTGGGCTCGACATGAGCTGCTGGGGACCTGGGATCTGCTCCTCCTCGGAATTGTGCATTGATCTCCTCGGAGGTGTGAACAACTGGTGGCGTGTGGGAGATTTCGGAACTGTGGTCATCTCTGGAGCACCCAGCACCATCTGGTAGTAGCGCTCGTCGCTCTCGATCTTCTCCACAGCCACCTTCATGAGTTAGTAGTGGGGCTTCACACCCTTGAGATCTTTCTGAACTATGCTGAGAGCCTTCGCCACATAGTGAGGATCGATGTGTTCGACATTGTGAGTCAGCGAGCCCATCCTTGGAACATACTGCGTCCGTAGGTTGCACACGGCGCAGTGGGTCCATTGACCATACCTGTTTGATCCTCTCACGGAGGCGTTGTGACTCCCGAAACATGGCCAGCATTCGCCACATCTGGGGTCTCTCGGATCTGCTGGAAGAGCTCGGCTGTGATCCAACTCGGGAGCCTTGTCGGCAAGGTTGGTCTTCGGAGGCATCACTCCAAAGATTTCGATCACCAGCCGTGGATTCCTTCTGTTTTGAGCCGGCAGAACGTCGATGAACACACTGTTGAAAGAAGCAACGCCGGGCATCTGTGTTGTCAAGCAAACCATGTTGAGTTGAAAACAACTCTTCTCCTTGTGTCATGTAAAGTTCCAGAACATTTGCATCCGAGATAGCTCGTGAAGGAGTCCATGTTGAATCAGACGTGAAACCATGTGGCTTGTTGGTGAGAAAGGAAACCAAATCCAAAACAAAGTGACCCTTTGAACTAATTCGCAAACAGTTGGGATTTGCATCAGGCACGTTGGACATCCAAGAGTATCCATCCACGAAATCAAGAACCAAGCCCACACCATTGACGCCTAAAAAGTCCATGCCGATCAAAATAGGAACCAACAGTGAATCATCGTACCAAGGTTCATGATATTCTGGAGGATTCGGGAGAGCAAAAACTGAAAATTTTCGCTGATGTCCAGATGCCCATGAGGAAATTGTGCCTTGACACAAGGCTTGTCCCCACTTCCCTGAACCATACCGAAAACGGGCTTTCAAAGTTGGGTCAACAGTCAATGTTGCTTCTGGATCAACTTGGCGCAAACACTCAAAAACCCTGTGAATGCTGGCCACGGGACCAGCAGAGGCTGTGGCACCGCTGTCGACCATGCCCTCGAAGGACTTGATGGCCTGGGATGCCGAAGGCGGTGGAGACCAAGTGGCTGTCAGGGTCACATCCAGGGGCTCATGGTACTCAGGGGTTTCCATGAACTCAATGGGATAGAGCTCCATGCCATAAGCATTGACACCGCTCGGACCAGGAGGACGAAACGAAAAACTTGATGACCCTTTTGAGGATTTGCCCTTAGATTTGCCAGCCCAAAACATCTCGTGAGCCATGTAGTTGGAATACTTTGCCTTGCCTTTGCCTTTGCCCTTCACCATGGGAAACTGTTCCATGTAGGGATCACCATAAACAGCAATACCCATCTTGCCCTCATTGAAACCTTTGGACTTACCCTTGGGAGCACCACGATCTGGACAATCACGTGCAAGATGAAGGGGACTACCGCAGTTAAAACAACCCGTAGATGATGTTGATGATTTTCCCTTAACAGCTCCAAAACCTCTATCACGGCGCAAGGCCGCCGTAGCCTCCTGGGCTTTTTTCCATGTGAGACTCGCTTCAGAGGCTAGAGCTTCTGCCACGCGTTCTGACTGATACGCCTCTTTGATCTGCGGATCTTCCAGTTCTGAGGCATTCAAGTCAGGTGTTTCATGAGCATCATCATAGTTACCAGAAGGGGGAGAATCAGAAGGACCATTCCATGACGACCAATCATCATCCCACATCCAGTTAGCTTCATACCAACCATCATCATTATAATCATCCCATGACCAAAAAGAGGAATCGTGATCACCTTCCAACCAATGTGCATTAAACTGTGAAGGGGCATGTCGAGGATGTTGAATCAACTGATCATCCCAAAGCACTTGCAATGCACCTGAAATTGAATCAAAATCCAACTTGTTGTTGGTTGCAGAAAGAACATCACGAAACTCATCACGGGACAAAGTGGCTGCCTGTAACAAGCGCCATCCTCGCAGAACATCAAGCACAAATGAGTCAGCAGAGTTCATCCCATGCTCTGGAGCCACATTCGACTGAGGACTGAGATCCGGTTCAGAAACTAGAGGCACGCGCTGATAGCCATCTGTCGCTGCATCAGGTCGCTCACCAGTCTCAGTAGCATCAGCATCAGCTGAGGCTTCAGCTGCGGGTTCAGCACCCGCATCATGAGAATCACGCCAGTTTCGCCAGCGATTCCACTGGGCATCTTCTTCCTCCTGTCTCCTGAAGATTGCTTCCAAGCCAAAGTCTTGCAAGCTTTGATCAGTACCACTGCGTTCCTCACGAAGCCGGATCAAAGCTTCTTGGAACTCTTCGTAAGACAAGGTCTCTCGAACAAGGAATTCGGAAATTGTCTCATTCTGTCGTTTGCGAAACCCAAAATACTGCGACATAGTTGCTGCGGCATTCGGAAGACTTCGTCTGACCAAAGGACTTGCTGCTAACTTACGCAGGAAAATGAGTACACCACGATCATTATCCAGTTCTGATTGGGGCCATGACATTGCTAAAAGGCGGGCACTTCCGGAGAGCCGTGCAATTAGCCTGGTGGCCAAATGACGACGCTGTCCCACCTTTGTAGCTTGCACATACCACACCACCTCACGACAGTAACGCCGCCAACCTTTCGGATGACCATCCCACGTAGGGACTGCTGAGCTCTCTGATGACATCCGGCCAGCTACACCAAGGAGTTGCGCAGAGAAAACCAGTAGCTCCGCTACCAGTGCAGCGTAGCTGACACTGGAGCGATTCAACAGAGATCAATGGCCAACAGCTGTCAAAAGGGATGGAATGGATCAACTGGAAATCACAAGGTCACACAAGACCTAACAACGAAAAGCACCCATGGCACTCGGCAGCTCAAACGCTGCTGTTTTCACAGGATCGCCGAAGGCTCAAGGCCTAGGGAGGTTTGGGCCGACACATCGGCAACCGCACGTAGATACCTGGGCGAATGGACCAATGGAAAGGATCAGTTCTGTTGCACAACCCCTTTTTGTGCTTGAGCAGTCTTGAGCACTCTTGAGCACCGAAATCTGAAATGCAATGTTGGAGGCATGTCGCTACGGCGATCACTCCGACGGATGCCTGCTCAAGAGCCAAGAGCGAAACACCTGTCAGTTGTCCCTTTGCTTCGGGGGAAATCCTCCATGGGACCAAAGCATAATGCTCGGGTGGCTGTTTGATGACATGGTTTGTTGTGCATCTTGTGTTCTTTTCAGAAAGGTGATAGATTATTCAGAAGCCAAGAATTTGCGAGAGCACAGAGATTATGTGGCAATGCGCCGATTTCACCAAAGACAGTGTGCACTGTCTCACTGGGTTTCCGCCCGCACAGGAGCAGGGAAGCGTGCACCTGTAAGAAATGCAGATTCGCCGGTGTTTCCAGAACTCTCCAGAACTCTTGAGCAACTCTTGAGCAACAGCAGTGTGTGACCCAAACTTCGGCCTGAAGATTTCGGTATGACCTGCCTGCCTGACCCATGACCCACGGTGCCCGGCTCAAGCGTTGCGTCCCATCCTTGGAGGTGAGGGTGACTTGGCTGAGCGTAGAACATGCATCGTCTGGATTCTTTAACATATTTTTAAGATTTTTTAAGTTTACGATAGTTTAAGATTATGCTTTTTCATGGAGGTATATCCATGGAGGTATATCCATGCATATCCATCCAGTATATCCATCCAATATATCCATCCAATGTTTGTACGCACGCACAGAGCTAAGTGCTAAGCAAAGCATTTCACAGCAAATGTACAAGAAACTAGGCAAAAAAAAATGCAAATCCAGACATTTCAGTTTGGCAAACGAATGCACAAGAAAATCAATTCACGAATTTGTGGCTGACAGATCTGACAGCGAAAGTGCCAAATTGCAGTGGTTTCAAAGCCAAATTCGTAGAGTCAGTTGCATTGGCCAGACAGAATCAGAAGGTGTGAGCAATGTGTCAACAGAAGAACAGATAGAACATGACAAACCTGTGCATAATTTCCTCATTGCCACAATCATTTGACCCAAGGGTGGAAAATAGCAGTACTGCAAATGCCCCCAGTTGTGCTGACCTCCATGTGCTCAATCTCAGGTGCGGGTGATGAGCCCCAGGACTGAAGCAACATATGATGGAGGTTTCCAATCCATGGGGGGACCGCCAAATCATCCATTTAAATAGGATTTTCCAGTATAAACCATCCATTTTGGGGTACCTCCATTTATGGAACCCCCCATATATAAGTATCATCATTTGCCATTAAAACATTCTCTCTCTCTCTCTCTCTTTCTCTGTGGTGTTTTCATCCCCTGTGTTGGGTCCCCCGAAAATGTTTGAAAGCGGAGTTTGGCACCAGGAATTCTGGAGGCATCTCATTTGAGGATGCCGGGATCTCCAGATATCAAATCTGAGGATTACTACAAGGCCAGTCACACCAGTCACGTCGTGTACAGTGCTGGCTGAAGCTGCAAAAAATGGGCGGCATGTGAAGATGTACTCGACATATCGGCGGAAGTCATTGAAGTACATATTACTGGTACATCATATCTATTTGCTTGTATATATTTGTATATTGTAAAGTCAATTTTGATCATATATGTGTATCTATATGACATATATGTGTATCATCCCAATACACATAAAATACACGATGGTCCAGCTGTGTTTCTTTTCCCATCTTTTCCTTGGCAGATTTGGCAGGTCCTCGGAGTAGATCGGGGTGCTTCAGACAGTGAAATTGCCAAAGCCTACAAGAAGCTGGCGCTGAAGTGCTCACATGCGAAAACACGTTGGCTTAGAAAACCATAGAAAACCTCTATGCATATCTATGCCAGACATTGCAATGGCATTTGCAGGTAGACAATATGTCCCAATTGATGAATCTTCCAGCAGTTTTAGATAGGTTAATGATTAATGAATATTAATGATGTATTATGTCTTGCGCACACTGTAGCCCTTTTGATAGACTAAGGGCCAGTCGATCTATTCGGTTGGAATCGGCTTAATGGCAGATTTCTCCACAATAATTTGCTTGCATAATCTTGTAGATTCTTTTTCATTCTTCTATATCAAGGTCCCAAGGTGGCATTAGATATAAGATGATATAAGTGCGTTTGTTCATGCCCGCTTCCGAGTACAACAGGTACCATCCAGACAAAAACCCTGATAACAAGGAAAAAGCCGAGGAAGATTTCAAGGCCCAGCAATTTCATATGATTTCTGTAGGGTTGCTGTGTTATTTGTAGAGTCCCGTCCAATCATGTCCAATCAGTACACGCTGCCGATGTTTGAACCCTAAAGACCCTGCTGTGGCTTGATGTGCTGACAGAAAATCACTGAAGCTTACGAAGTGCTTCACGACTCGGACAAGAGGAAAAACTACGACCAGCAGCTTGACTCAGAAAGTGGGGAGCTGGAATGATGATTTGTTTTGATGATGATGATGATGATGGATGATGATGATGATGATGATGATGGATGATGATGATGATGGATGATGGATGATGGATGATGGATGGTGGATGGTGGATGATGGATGATGGATGATGGATGATGGATGATGGATGATGGATGATGGATGATGGATGATGGATGATGATGATGATGATGATGATGACGATGATGATGATGATGATGATGACGATGACGATGCCATTTTTTGAGTAACTTTGGAGTCAACGAATTCAGCACGAGGTTCGGCAAAGCGGGCATCCAGGGAGGTCCCGGAGGTGGAGCAGGAGGTGGCAACGTGGCAACGTGCTGTCAGGGGCAGTGGGGTCTTGCCGTGTATTTGGTAGATGCATATTACATGATACGACTGTTTACAATCTGAAGCTGCAGTTTGCTGCGATTCCCATTTTTGGGGCCCTTTGTGCCCCTGCGGATATGGTAATTTTGTACAGACGTTCTTGACGTTCTTCATCCTGGTCAATGAAATAGTATGAGACAAGTTGATGCCAACTTTGCCAGTTTTGTTAAAATATTGAAGATGGAGAACTACAAGGGATTGAATTTCAAGGCTGAAGAAACTGCAAATAAGCATATTTCGCAACTTGGTAGGGGACACAGCACGAAGGGTTGTCGATAGCACATGTGGGATATGAAACAGCTGACCGGTTTACACGCACTTGAATACTGTGAAGCGTTTGTGAGATAGATACATATCTGAGCAAGATTAAGATCAGATAGTGATGGTTTCCTTTTGAGCCAGCGTTTTTACCCATCCCTAAAGTTGTTTTTCTTGCTGCAACCTTTTTTCCCCTGCCACATTGTACTGTAATTTGTGCCTGCTTTTGCGAAGGCAGTATTTACATGTTTTTGTCAAATTTTGGAACCTTGGTTTTCCAATGCCAAGTTGCAATTTTAGATCGCTAGACTTGCTCTTGCATTGGTTTGTGAGGCAAATTGATGCAAACTGCTCTTGTGCAACAAGGATCAAACCAGTTGTTCAAAGCGACGGAAAAACACCAAATATAAACACAATATATACGCAATATATACACAATATATACACAATGTATACACAATATATACACAATATATATATATATATATACAATATATATACACAATATATATATATATGCACAATATATACACAATATATATATATATACGTACACAATATATATATACACAATATATATACACAATATATATATATATACACAATATATACACAATATATACACAATATATACACAATATATATACATAATATATGCACAATATATACACAATATATACACAGGGTTCGGACGATCAGTTGGCAATTGCCTCAAGTTTGGCAGGTGTCTCCTTTGCAGAAGCCGATGAGATCTTCAAGGCCCGCAGCATCCCATCTCTGCCTTCATAATTTGCCGGTAAACCCATGAAGGCCATGAAGGGCTGAAGCGACCTATCCAGCATATCCAGCATGGTTCCAGTGGTTCCAAGGCCTTCTTTGGAGGAAACAACCCCTTCGGTGTCTTTGGCTTTGATGATGACGACATGGGAGGTATGGGAATGGGAGGCGCGTCACGACGGTTGCGTTCTATATATATATATCGGCAGAAGGCTGTGGCTCAGTTCGCCCCCCGAGTGAATAGGGTCGTGTGAACTCTCAGCCATAGCCTGAGCGGGTGATTTGCCCGCGGTCTTCAACGGGCACTTCGAGCTCGAGGACTGGATTGGACAGTTTTTGGCGCCTTTGCATCTCATTTGTCGGGTTGAATTTCCCCGGCACTGACTTTTCATTGGCACATTTTCTGGACAATTGGTTTCATTTTTCTGCACTACTGAAGTGCGACACGCTGGTGGTGCTACATTTGGGTACAATCTTTACAATTTTTATTTATCTCCACTGAACTGCGACACGCTGGTGGTGACATTTGATTTCAATCTAATACATCTCAATTCTCTTATTTCACTGGTTCTGCGGTGGCCACACACCGGATCTATTGGCTGGCTCTGCGGTGGCCCTACGCCGGACAGCGGAATATTTGGATTTGTGTTTTCATTGAGCAATATTTGATTTATTTACCACTTATTGCGAACCGTCAGTTGGCAGTGCCCTGAGGGTTGAACATTTGACTGTGGTATTTCAACCATTTATGTGCTCATTTCTTCTCCTATTTTTGTTGGTCATTGTCGGCTTCGATCTGGTACAAAATTCCATTTCTCAGTGGGACACAGAAGCGGAGGGCTCGGCGGCAGCGAAATTCACGCCCGTCGGGCGTGGTTTTTACATCGGACTGGTTTGGTCCCCTTGAATACCACGGAACTTCGCCGCCTTCTGCGTCGACTGTCAAGCCATCATTCCAGGGACAGCAAGTTCCTGACAAAGATCAAACTCAACATCATGGAGCAAGAATTATGGCCCTGGCGGTGCCAGCGTTGCCAAAGAATCAATCGCAAGAGTGCCACCAAGTGCGCCATTTGCAATGCGCACTGGACTACAGGCACCAGGCACAGTACGGAACCCAAGAAATCGACAAATCTGGACGAAGAGGCTGGATGGTCGACATGGGAAGAATGGTCTTACAAATGGGACGAAGACGATGCAGCATGGGGGTGGGATTGGCAAAAACATCGCCAACAATCCCGCTCGCAATCGCAGAGTACAACCAAAAGCAACAAGAGCAACTATGGGGAGTCGCAAGAGACGCACCCACGAAAGCAGAAAGGCAAAGGCAAGGGCAAGGCCAAGCAAGGCAAAGACAAGGGGAAAGGGAGCACACCATCGCCCTTTGCTCCTTTGACAGCAGATGCACCGCCCTGGCCGTCTCTAGAGAGTCCAGTGGGCAATTTGATGCCGACGATGACTCCTTTCTCCACTGCACAAGGAGTCGAAAACATTGCGCAGAAGAAGGAAGTGGTCAGTGCTCTCAAAACAGCATATCCAGATGCGGCTCAAATGCCACAGGAAACAAAAGAAATCATCGAGAAGCTGGAGAAAGATATCGATCGCCTCGAGAAAGAGAACTCGAAGGCGACAACCAAGAATCTGCATTCAGCCACCAAGGCTCTGGGGAAGGCCCAGAAGACTCTTGCGGAAACGATGGAGTCAAAGAAGGTTCACCGTGCAAGGTGGACTCAGCATGTGGCAGAAGCGGCAAAAACCTGGCAAGATCAACTGCATCAATACCGGCAGCAGCAAGCAGCCCTGCAAGAAATTGCGGTCAAAGCACGTGCGGACATAGAAAGTGCCCGCGCAGCCATTCAGGCTTTGTCAGCAAAAGCTCCTCAGGAGACACTGGCAGCTATGACTCAGATTGCACCGGTTACGGCAGAAACAGAAGATGCAGCCATCGATCTGGATCAGGAGGAAGAATCAGTTCAATATCAACTGCAGACCGTCCTGCAGAGCTGCGCAGCATCATTGGGGATCGATGTACCGCAAGCTCAGCAGACAGCTGCTGGAGATCAAATGGACGATGGAGAGACGGAGGTGAATGCCACACGTCCCAAAAGAGCCCGCGCTTTGGAACCATTTGGAGGAGTCTCTGTGCCTATTGCTGCCTCCTCACCGGATGGAAAGAAGCCGTGAGCTACGGCGGTGTAGTGCCAGTTCTTAGCAATGGTACGCATGACGCCCATGCAGGAGGATCCGAGGTTGAGGCCTATGTGCTGAGGCCAACAGCATGTGCAGCAAGCCCTGGATACCTCAGAGAAACTGATTTCCAACAACTATCCATTTGGCAAATGTATGATGACTCTTGGTATGATGACCGTACTCATATGACTGCAGTACTATCAGCCTGGAGATTTCGGTGGAGTTTCCTTTGTGACGAGTTTCATGCTTCTCAGCAGACTTCAGATGAAGAATGTGGGGCTCCCACCTTTGCTCAGTTTGCGCAGTCCAAGGACTCAGATATTCTGACAAGCGCCATAGCCTGCAAGGAGAGAGCTGAAAGCCTCTCACATAATCTGCGTAGTTGCATCCGTCCAGATTGCCAGGTCCCTGCCAAATCTCATTCAAGGATCCGTAATGTCCAATTCAGCCCGGAAGTTTTGGTTCATATAGGTCTTGATGAAGAATTAGGCATGGGTGTCACGGCTGTGGACCATGAAGTCTTGAAGGATTGGAAAGAGAAACCCTGGACTAGACGTGTCCGCAAGTCACATGGAAGACACACACAAGAGCATAAATATTGGATTTCTGAATATAGAACCACTGATGCTTGGCACAACGTTCCATCCAGATGGTTCACAACGCAACAAGAACACCCAGAAGAAGAATTTGACAATCCAGAAGATGCCCGACATTTCCTGCATGAGGCGCCACAATCAGTCCAGAACTTGTTTGATGCGTTGCTAGCAGAAGGTGTGGTTGAAGGTCCAAGGATCCATTAAAGCATTTTCTTAAGAGCCTGGTATGTTCACTATTTGCATTCTCCGCAGTGTTTCCAATACCGTGTCATTGAGATCAACGGCCATTGGCGACACTGGCATAATGATATCATCAGTGCTTGGAGAGATAGAGTCAGACCAGAAGAAGAAGCCATTTATGACATTGTTCATCCAAACCCACCTCGCAGGGCTCCGCCGCAAGGGTTTATGTTTGACATCATCTTGTCGCAAGGCTTGGAAGCTCCCAGACGAGCGGGCCTGGTCACGATTCTTCAAAGGGATGACAGAGCACAAAGAGCCAACTATGCTGTAGCTGCGTCGCTTCCAGAAATTGTTAGTGGCTATCAAATTGTCCAATCAGCCGAATACACTCATGAGTGTAATGTTCACCAATGCATTATCAGACATGCAAGGGAGCGTCTCCCATACACCATGGCCCCAGTACATGATATGCAAGATGGTGATTCTTTCACTGTGGCTGTACATACAAGGGCTGATTCAAGTGGTGGCCATCCTGAGACAACCCCCGATCCGCAAGCGGAGGTGTCTCATGAAAGGAATGACTCCATGCCAGATGGAGGTGAGCAACATGATCAGGACCCTGACCCTGAGGAACAATCCCAAGTGCCATCTCCTAGTTTGGCCAGCACATCAGACATTCGAGCTGGGGTTCATCCATAGGCTAGGTCATCCACAGACGTTTGGTAGACCGAGATGGGACACAGCAGAACATGTCTTGCATGATGTTGCGATGATTCTCCAGGTTCCTTTTCATCATCTCACGCACTGTCATCATGTACAAGTGCCGCCTGCTGACACTGCAGAGCATGATGATTCCATCATCGTTCAGCACATTAATGACATTCCTGTTGGTTCCACGGAAAAACTCATCCTTGTAGATGTGGACATGCATGCCCAACAAAGCAGTGTTACCTGGCCGAGAGCACCTGCAGTGTCGCGCCAAGTTTTCAAAGTGGTCCCAGTGTTGGTGCGACGACACTTGTTGCACTTGACGCATACGGCGGCATATTGCGACTGGTCACCGCAGGAGTGCTTGGTTTTTTGTAACCATGAATTGTGGCATTTGCATGAGCAGGGTCCCCGCAGGATTACCCATGGTATGTACTTCAAAATCATTGTTCCTCCACCTCCCAATCGCCAATGGGAAATCAGCCATGCCATTCGAGTTTTCCATGAAGCCCTCAATCTGTTCGACTCGCCCGAGGCCACCAGAATTGCTGAGCACATCCTGAATGAAAATCGGCCGTGGCCCCCGGAAGAAGTTCCCCCGCACAGGCAATGCAAAGGGACAGAGATTCATCGAGATATCGATGTCCCGATGATGTTTGCACCAGGGGTGCCGATGAGGCGCTTGAGGCCTAGGCATGATGGTGAAGAGACGTGGTTCTGGGAGCTAGGCCAGCTCTTTGCAGATCAAGCCGAAGTTGAGGTGATTGAAGGGGATGCATATCTTTATATCCAGACTTGGTATATTGATCATGATAGACATCCTATCTGCCGAAGGCCTCGTCCCATGAGACTTGAATCTCCCTCCATCACATGGATTGATGACTTCAGGCATGAATGGAGAGATCTCCTTGACCCCAGCACTGATTTTTCCATCCATATGGTTCGGCCCAGACCACCTCAGTATCGCCACCACAATTATGCTTGTCACATCCTCCTTGAGCAACACAGACACAGAGGTCTTGCCGCAGGAGTTTTGACTGCTATGATTGCTCATCCTGATCGTGATGCTATCATTCAGAGTGCCTTTTCGACGACGAGGCATGTGAGACAGCAAGATCTGATAGATCTGATGGCGATTGAGCACATATGCACTGGCCGCCGTTGCACTGCATATCATGATCAGGAACCCATCCACCTTGTCGTGGCCACCGAGGTCAGGTCGGGTTTTAGCATCCGGATCAATGTAGGGCCGGCAGACATGCAACTGCCAGTTTTGCCAGGAGGACAGGGTTATTTTGATGATATTGTCTTCATGCAAAGGCCGCGAAGTGAGTCAGCCCCCCCAACGACTGATCGGCCGACCTCGATCGCTGCCTGTGATCCGTTTGTGTTCAATCCAAATGCTGCAGTTTTCCACCCAGGAGAAATATCACTGCAAGACACATCCGAGTTTGTTCAAGACCTGCATGCGATTTGGATCGTCAATGCCAGATCATGGGATCGTGAAACGCCAATGGTCACATTCTTGACATGGTTTGTGGATCACCGCCAGCATTACCCTCATTGTCTGGCAGCTAGGAGTGTTGCACTGACACATCAGTTCACCACATGGGAACGCGAGGTCCAACGCGTCTGGAGGGATGTATGGGATGAGCAGCTTTCACATGAATTGCATGTCGTGATCCCAACACCTCCGGATTTAGAGCGTGGTATTGCAGGCCACATCCTAGTTGTTCAAGCACCCCATGAGACTTGGGTCACAAGTTTGGTCACGATCTACGACAGTTTTCTTGGACGTGCCATGGATTACATGATGCGAGTTGCGGTAACCACTGATGAACGCATCTACCTTGAGCAAGTCGTATCTCATTGTGGATATGAACTGGTTGAGGGCAGACTGAATCCGAATGTGCCCTGCAGAGCATGGATCGACGGACATCCGTTGCAATCCGGGCATCCCTGGCCTGGCAGATCAGGGCATGAAATCACCCTAAGAATTGACCGACAGACAGTGAGATTAGCGGATGTGATGCATGATGAACATGCATTGCTGCAGTTGCCACATAACCTTGGTCTCACGCAAGGACGTACTCAGATCAGTCTGGAGGAATTGCTTCCTTCAGATTTGCATGACAGCAGCGATTCTCTGCAGTCTCAGTATGCCTCTGGAGTTGGACACACCAGCGGGAGCCACTGAGGAAATCCCCCAATCAGATGTGAGCCCTGCCATGAGTGGAGGTTTTGTTGTTCGTGTGCTCAACATGCGAGAAGAAGACCGGTTGCCCACTTTTTTGGAAGTCGAGGCTTTGAATGATGCGAATGTGAGTGCAGCATTGACCAGTTGGCATTGGGATGAGGATTGGTGTTTGGTTGAAGATCTGGCGGTACTCATCACACCGTGTCCGTCAGACATTGGGCACCATTATCTCTATATTGATGATGCTAACAGGCCTGATCACTTTAGCTTTCATGTCTTTGCGGAACAGACGCGCAGTGACATTGATCACATGCGTTGGCTCAGGAAAAAAGGCATCCAAAGAGCAGTGATCATGGAAAGTGCACAGACCAAACAACGGAATGTTCAGTGTATTTATTTTCGTGATCAGCAACCACACCCTCCGGTTGCTCCTGCCAAGCAATGCAATGAGTGGCCGGCCAGACTGCGACATTGGAAGAAACACCAATCCATCTATCTTCCAGTTGAACCTAGTGGAGATGGGGATAACTCACCAGAGATTCCCTGCAAATGGTCGACAGGTTTTGAAGACACACAGATTGCCGATTTATTTTCATCTGCGAACCATCTTCTTTGTAGGGATTTTGATGGTTTGGAACTCCCAGATCATGTATGGCATGCCTTGCATCGATGTGAGCCTCTGGAAAGAGTGGACAGACTCATCATTTATGCAGATGGCAGCTCCCTGCCAGAACATCGACGGCGACCTCCACAACAAGTAGAAATGGAGGGGCAGGGAGACACTTGGGCCTTCCTAGTCTTAGGTGAACAGTATCTGGACCAGAACACCTCCAAAATCAATGTCCTGGGATGGACGGCCCAACCTGTTTTGTATAGCCCTGAAGCGTCCCACCATGTTGGTTCCCTTGTTGTCGGGTCAGAGACGGCCGAGAGAGAGGCCATGTTTTGGAGTGGATGTTGGCGGCTTGCACAAAACTGTACCATCCCGACGACGTTTTGTACTGATTCCTCCACAACTGCACAGCAATCAGCCGGAGTACATGGATGCAACAAGGATGAAGTTTCATTTGAAAATCTTCGCGCAATCTTTCAATGTCTGGAAGGCGCTCTGCAGGAGGATCTAGACGTCCGACATGTGAGAGGCCACAGTTTGGACCCATGGAACGATTTTGTGGATGCTGCTGCAAAGCAAGAAAGAGCGAAAAGCTTTTACCACCCTCGACAAAGATTGGACATGCAACAGTGGGGACAGTCTCTGAAGCACCTTTGGACAGTCTTTGCTGATAATGCTGGCTTGCCGACTTTCAAGGGTTCCTGTTTTGATGTGAGACCACCCGATCTGCCTCCTGACTGTGTTGTTGAACCGCAACCACAATGTTCTATGAGTCAAGTTCAGTATGTGGTTAGTATGGCTTCGGCCAATGTCAACTCCCTTCACGCAGGACCAGATGGCTATAGTGGTAAACTTCAATTTATCAGAGACCAGATGAGAGGCTTGCATTTGAACTTTCTGGGCGTCCAGGAATCCAGAACCGTGGAAACGTGCACGTGCACTGATGAGGTGCTGCGATTAGGTGGGGGTGCTGACAAAGGACATCATGGCATCGAGCTCTGGGTCAATTTGCGTCAGCCCATCGCCTATGTTCGCAACAAACCAGTTTTTCTGAATAAACAACAGATTGTGGCAGTGCACAAAACCCCGAGAGTCTTGCTTGTCCGAATTGCTCATGACATTTGGTCGGCATGGATCCTTGTGGCACATGCACCTCAGAGTGGTCAAACAGATAGACAGAGAACCGTTTGGTGGGATTCACTCAATGAAATGCTTCATCAGCACATTGCGCCAGGTGAACTGTTTGCTCTTATCGATGCTAATGCAGCAGCAGGACCCACGGACGGCATCAGTGTTGGGCCTTTGGGAATGGACACCACGAAGTCAACTGCTCTATTTCGATCTTTTCTGGCTGAATGGGGACTGGCGCTCCCGTGTACATTTTCCTGTCATCAGGGACACAGAGACACTTGGTGCAGCCCAGATGGAACGATCCAAGCATGTATTGACTATGTCTGTGTTCCTCAGCACCAGCTTCCTTCTTGTAAGCTTTCACGCACAGTGCCTGAGTTGGACCTTGGCAATGGGGATGTGGATCATTCTGTTGTAGCTATCCAGATGGAATGGACAGGTCATCACATGATGTCCAAAGGCAAAGCACCTCGGAAAGCCCATAACCGGTCAAGCATTGACAGGCACTCCTTGGCTGTGGAGCTGGCCCAATTCACTGTTCCTGAATGGAGTACGGCAGCACATACGCAAGTGGAAAGACACAATGCTCATGTTCATTCATGTTTGCACGCAGTGAATCCTCCATTGCCTAAGAAAGCCAAGAAGAGTTTCATAACGGATGCTATCTGGATCCTTCGTGATGACAAACTCCACCAAAAGAGGAAAGTACAGGACATTGGCAGACGCATCAGGGCTGAGACTCTCCGTGCTGTCTTTGTTGCCTGGAGAACCAGGGACCAGCAGTGGCACACCGAGCACTTCGTGATTTTTCACAGATATCAAGTTGCCCTCACATGCTGGAAATTGTTTCATGGAGTTCAACTGCATGTTACTGCCAAGGATCTCAAGAAAAGACTGAAAGACGCACGCAAAAAAGCACTGGCAGTGGATCTCACGAGCCTCTCTCCAGAGGCAGAGGCATCAGAGGCGTTGAAAATTGTCAAACAGCACATAGGGCCGACCAACCCCAAGTTGCTGAAGAAACCAGTGCTACCTATGCTCCAAAGCCTTGAGGGAGACCTCTGTGTGCACCCTGAACAATTGATTGACACATGGGTCAGCTTCTTTGCGCAAATGGAAGGTGGACAGAGAGTTACGAGCCAAGAGCTGTATGATAAATGGAAACACCATTCCGCCAGTTTCCTGCAAACTGAGATCTGCATTGGACCGGACGATGTGCCAAGCTTGACTGACTTAGAGCAAGCCTTTCGCAGAGTCAAAAGCGGTAAAGCGCTGGGACAAGATGGCATTCCGCCTGAAATTTGCAAAGCTTGCCCTGTTGTTCTAACCCGACAATACTACAGTGTATTGCTGAAAATGCTCATCCATGGCCAAGAGTCTCTGCATCACAAGGGTGGCACCCTTGTGCCTGCATACAAAGGAAAAGGATCCAGCATGCTGCCGGCCTCGTATCGGTCCTTACTCATCAGCTCTCATCTGGGCAAAGTTTTGCATCGAACGATTCGGCAACATCAGGCGCAGATCTATGAGCAGTATCTCTGTGCACAGCAGTTAGGAGGTAAGCGCAAAGTTCCAGTGAATTTGGGTCTTCATGAGGCCAGGGCATTCCTCCGTAGCAATCAGCTTCGTGGTAGATCTGTTGCACTTCTCATGCTTGATCTAAAGGAAGCGTTTTATCGTGTCCTTAGGCCTCTTGCCTTGGGTTGTGAATGGACGGATCAGCAAGTGGCCAGCATTGCACACAGACTGTGTTTGCCTGAGAGTGCGTTGCATGATTTGTACAGACACCTCAGTGAACCCAGTGCCATCGCATGCGCAGACTTGCCTCCTCATGTCCAGAGATCCATTAGAGCATTGCACACTGACACATTCTTCCAGGTGCCAGGACAAAAGGATTTCTGCCACACATCCATCGGCTCGCGGCCGGGAGACTGTTTTGCAGATGTAGTTTTCAGTTATCTTTTCTCTCGTGTTCTCAAGGAGTTCCAAACCAAAGTCCGGGCGCAAGGTATCCATGAGAGCATTGAAACCGCCAGCCATTTTGACCCGTATGGACTGGCGGAACACACAGGAGAGATGCAGCAATACCTTGGGCCAGTGTGGATGGATGACCTATGTATAGGTCTGACTGACAACACACCAGACCAGCTTATCCACAAAGCTGGCACCACAGCCTCGATCCTTTTGGAGACGTTAGAAGGCTTCGCCATGACTCCCAATTTATCCCGAGGCAAGACAGAAATCCTATTGTCGCTGAGAGGGCCGGGCGTGAGGAAGTGCAAAAAACAGATGCTTGGCCCTCATACCAATGGCATGCTGCCAGTTATTTGTGAATCTGGCACGAAATACATTGCAGTAGTAGGGCAATATCAGCATTTAGGAGGATTGTTGCATAATGGAGGAGATCACCGCATTGAAATGAGGAGGCGTATTGCGATCGCCAACACGGCTTTCAACCAACACCGCCGTACTATATTTCACAATGATGCTATCTCTTTCAAAAAACGTGTGGAACTCTTCCAGACGCTGATTCTCAGTAAACTTGTTTACGGCAGCGAGTCATGGATTCTCGCCACCCACCGAGCGAAAGGATATCTTCATGCATCAATCATGAGACTCTACCGCAGACTTTGCCGTAGTGGACCAGAGTCCCATGACACAGATCAAGACATTTTGAGCCGAGTGGGTCTTCCGACACCCACGGAGCTCTTCAGACAAATGCGCCTGAGATATCTCGGCACGCTGCACGCTTGTGACTCCAATGTGACGTGGTCTATCCTGAATGCAGATCAAGAATGGTGTGCCCTGCCACGGGACGACCTACATTGGATGTGGTCTCAACTGCAACACAGTTCTTCACTGCTGGATCCGTCAAGCAATCTCCACCAATGGAGATACCTGTGGTGCTATCATAAGAGATATTGGAAAGGACTCATCAAAAGAGCCATTGCACATGCTCATCTCCAAAGGTGCAATCAAGCTCTAGTATGTGAAGTGCATGAGAAGATCTTGTGTAAATTTACTGATGCGCAGCTGATTCAGCGACCACCACCCATGCGAGTAACCCCGCCAGAGCCAGCGAAGGACTTTTTTGGGTGTATTGCGTGCCAGTTGCAATTGAAATCAAAAGGTGGTGAAGGAGCTCATATGTTCAAATGCCATGGCATGATCTCGCCTCTTAGATACCTTTTTGCTGAGACCCGTTGTGAAGCATGCATGAAAGAGTACCATACATTTGGTCAACTGCACCATCATCTCCGCAGTTCGACATCATGCCGGCTCCGACTTCAGAGACAGAATTTGCAGTGCGCGCCTGTTGCGGGTTGGGGATCCATGGATAATGCATGCTTAGTTCAACAACGCAATGGATTGTTGCCTCCCTTAGTGTGTGAGGGACCAAAACTGCCGACTCCGCAGGAACGAGAGGTGGCGGATTTTGACACCGAAGTTTTTGCAGACTGCGCTGAGGTCCTGATGGAACGTTGCACGCTTGCTGAAAGTGTTAGTGCCATGATTCAGCGCATGAAAGGCAGGGTCATCTCATGGACGCGATTCACGCAGATGGTACAGACCTTTGAGAATCAGGTGCAAGAGGATGATTTAAAGGCCTTTGGATTGACTCATTCTCAATGTTTGCAGTTTTGCCAAGAAATCATTGATACCAAACATTGGCCATTCATGCATCGCTTATCTGCAGAGCTGCCATCTGCAGAGGTCACCAGTGCCGATCTGGGTTGGCAATGTGCCAACAGTGAGATTTTGGATGAAGTTGGGCCTATTGCTCATCCACAGAGCTTTGGAACCCATAGATACATTTTGCATGCCTTTTCCGGCAGAAGGCGTCAAGGAGACTTTCAGTTTTTTCTGGATAGTCTCATTGGTGATAGACCGGGGATCGTGGTGCATACTCTTTCAGTAGATATCATCCTGGATGAGCGTTGGGGCAATGTGGCGGATCCGGAAGTGCAAAGCTTTTGGTGTCATGCTGTGCGGCAGAAATGGGTCCTAGGTTTTCTAGGGGGTCCACCCTGCGAGACCTGGAGCAGAGCCCGGGAACATGCCCTGGATGATCCAAAGGGGCGCAATACAGGGCCCAGAGTGGTGCGGACGGGACACTGTCCATGGGGCCTGTCCAGCCTATCTCTTCGTGAGATTCGACAGGTCTTCATGGGCAACCAATTGATGCTCTTTTCTATCACCATCATGGTTGAACTGTATTTCACTGGAGGATGTGGAGCCATGGAACATCCGGCCGCCCCCAAGAAGGAGGAATCGGCGACAATATGGCGGACACCCTTACTGGAACTGCTGCTCTCCTTTGAGGCTTTTCAATTGGTAGAGTTTATGCAAGGACTGTTAGGTGCCATCACAGCAAAGCCGACTATGATCCTCGCACTGAGGCTTCCATGCTTGGCTCAGCAGATTTGCCGGTGGAGGATTGTAGATGAAGTGCCCAAAGGGGCCAGCTTGGGACGGGGAAGTGACGGGAACTTCAAGACAATGATCTTGAAAGAGTACCCCCCCGCTCTCTGCGGGGCATTAGCCTCCGCTTTCATGCATGAGCTCGATGCTTTTCCCATTGACATCGAGGTACAGGTGCCCCCATCATTTCGAGCCGCTTGTGTTAACATGCAGGTGCAGACGTATGGCACAGAATTAGGGCCAGATTTCATGGGTGGCAAGGTTTGAGAATTCATTGAGCAGAGGCCGCGGTGAGAACCCCTTTGTGCCTGAGGAAAAAAATATATCGGCAGGGCAATGTTGCGGGAAACCGGGGCCGTTGAAAAGCTAGAATTTGATTGTCTGTTAACACGAGAACTATGGACAGTCAGAGCTGCTTCACAGTAAAGGATACACAATTCAATTTGAATCGTATTGAAGGGTGCTCTGAGCTTTCCACAAAGCATGCGTTGCACTGAGTCTGTTGCACCTTGCACTCAATCAAAAGTGTCTAAGCACATCACCGGGACCGAAAACTCTAAACCACAGAATGCATAAGACGCGCATTATCCAGCTAAGTTGCCATCAAATTGGCTTCTGCATGGCAGGCATGTTTGGAGGGAAGGGCATGTGGCAGCCTCAGTCTTTGTAGATGACATGTTCATCATAGACCTCCATGTTCCCAGCAGCTCAGCATAGACCTCACTTGCCAGGGGTGGTGGAGGGCCTCGTGTCGTTTTTAGGTGCTGGGGAAAGGGATATGTGGGACATGTGAGCAGTGGCTGCTAAACCTCTGTTGCTTGATGATTAATTTGTTCGGGGGTTTACTATCCAATATCTTGGGAATATTTTGGGATTATCATTTTCCATGAATTGTAGAATTGTGAATCCCATTCTTAACCAACCGGCACGGAATGACAGAAAGTTTTGAGCACTGCTTATCTGCTCATGTGACAACATGTGACGTGTAACGTGTTTCATCATTTTTCAGCATCATGAACCACTGGGACTCTTGCTATATTTTGTAGTGACTGAATATGACTGAATCAATCTGGAATCTATGAAGGCCGCACTTGGAGCTGTCCAGCCTTGCTTTGACCATCTTTGACCCTCTGCCAGGAACGGAGGTGGAGGTTTCTGCCTCAATTGCTGGCGGGACATGGGAATATGTAGATATATGTAGTGTCATCAGTCCGCAGCGCCCTTTTAAGCTGCCTTACTAAGGCATGGGTGGCATGGGTGGCATGGGCGGCATGGGTGGCATGGGCGGCATGGGCGGCTTCCCCTTCGATTTTGGTGGATCCGACCTTAGCTTGAGTCCTTCTCCGTTGTGTGTTGCAGAGTTTGCTTTTTTTTTGGTGGCAACCCCATAAGTTGGGATATACTCCCAATAACTTTGGTTCTATATCCACTTATAACTGGACCTGCACGGGATTTGTGCGATTTGATTTGCCAGAGCATATGATTTCGTAGCAGTCCGCTGCATGTTCACATTTTCACGCAGGCATGGGCGGCATGGGCGGCATGGGCATGGGAAAGGGCGCAGGCAAAAGCAGGCGCATCCCCAGGTTCCACTCATTCCAGTTTATTTTATTCAGCATTATGAATGTGTGAAAAATGCAATAACTTACATTAATTTACCATGTAAAAGAATGTAGAACCGTGTATAATTATATATATATATATACACATTATACATTACATATAGATTGTATACGCATTGTATACACATTATGTATACATTATATATACATTATATATACTTATATATATATATACATGTTTATACACAATATCATTAAGTTTACCTTGTCAGAGACTTCAAATATGTGTTTGTCAGCTTTCCAGGAGCTGATCAACCAGCCGATCCAATCCTGTGAGGCCAGCCCCGCCTGCCTGGGCTATACCTGCTGGCACCGTTGGGCTCTGAGAGATGTTGCCGAAAAGTGGGTGGCATGGGAAAAAAACGCGGGAAGCATCGCTCTGGATCTGATGTTCCATGTAAACACCATGAATAACCATGAATATACACCATTAAAGACCATGAATAACCATGAAAAGCAATGAAACACCATGAAAAACCATGAGCAACTATGGTTTCCTGTGGAGTTTCCCAACAAAACCAATCCACCATTGATATGGTGCCACTCAGACCGTCATGGTCCACGGCTTGGAGAAAGCTGCCGAGCACAACCAAAAATCAGGGACTGGGCACACTGTTTCAACGGTGCTGCTAAAGGCTTTAGTGGCTTGGAAATGCACAGCTGGAATCGTTCACAACGTTGTGTATCGGTGAGTCACCGGATTTTTTGTGAAGAATCTGATGAATTTGTCGAGCTGAAAGGGACTGGACAGCTGAAGCACATTAATTAAATGGGCATTCCAATTTATTTCAACTGGAAAAAAATGTGTTTTGCGAAGGCTAGATCAGGTGGTTGCGTACGAATTCCAGGCATTGTGGTCCCCTTTTCAGCGCAGGAAAATCATGAGTTGGGATGATAGCAAAAGCAGATACGAGGTGCGCTACTTGTCGCTGCGTTTCTAATGACGTGGGATGTCGTGGGCTTGGCCCAAATTCGCCTTGCTGGCAGGTGGAGGTGGATTCAGGCGATACGACGTTGTCGTTGAAGTTGGGAACTCGTTGGATTGAATGCTGCGTTACAAGCTCTTGAGCAGAGTTTTGATGAGTTTTGTAAAGTGGGCCCAAACATGTTCACGACAGAAAGGGTTGTGCTTTAGAACCTGAAAGAAGCACCCATGAAAGAGTTCTTGTGTATGCATACCCAGACGTGAAAAGCTTTGAGGGTATGTACTGCACTGAAAGACTCCAACAAAGCTGACAACAAGGCCTCAGAACATCACCCAGACGTGTTCTGTGAAGATTGCCTGGGCCTTTGGAACTCTTCAGAGCCACTGAACCAAGCAAGGATATTGCAAGTAGATAAGGCATCATTTGGCACCAACGGCAAAGGTGATTTGAAGAGATCAGAGGATCCTGCATGCTTGTCATATTTTGTGATGCATATTTCAGTCAATCATAGAACCGCTTGACGTGTTCACCCAGATTGGAACCAGTACCTGTGATTATCTCAGGTTGGTATTGAATCCAAACCAGAGCTGCATGCACCTGAGACCATTGTTCTTCCCAGATTGGATGTTTAGAGCCAAATTTTGATCACAGTCAGCTGATTCTTGGGGACCGAGATTGGGCTTCATTTCAGACGCAACTTCTTAACAGTTCTGTTCAGCAAGAAATATCAAGAAATCATCGTTCTCATATCCTTGTCAACTTGAAAATCTTGAAGTGCGGAAGAATATGTTGCTGCCATTCCCAACCGCGATTCCCAGAGCCGTCATTCACTGCAAGGAATGGCAAGTCTGCTCAGCTCCTCAGCTTTGACAGAGCGTGCGGATCCACAGGCATGGGACAGACGCGATAGACTCGATAGACTCGATAGACAGGTGGCCTTTGGATATCCTGGTGTATTTTGTACTCAAAGCTCTGCAAACTAAGCTCCTAATATGCTCCGAAAAGGGTAGCTAACGGAACATGTTGAAAACCTGCAGAGAGCTGTTGATCTCAGCTGCTGTCAAGAGGGTCTTGACCGGGCCGCTTCTGAGGAATTGGCGCTATACAGTGAGACTCGCTGTCGCTCGCACCGAACACGTTGGAATTGCGCAGCTTCTGGAAAGTTGAAGAACAGATCTGTTGGTAAGTTGCAAGCCATAACAACTCACCACCCGAGCACTCGAAAAGCAAACATGGATGAAAATGGCAGGTCCAAATAATTAGGTCCAGGATCCAATGAATCCCAAAGGAAGTCCGGGAGCATGTGGAAGCTCAGGAAAGGCTTGAAAATGGCAAGGATGTGCTTGGCCTCCAGCCAAGCAATGTGATCCTCCCGAAGGTCACATGGAATGGGTGGAAGATATTTTGGGAAGCGTAGCCAAGGATCGAGGCATTGGTACTCCGAAGAACAGTTATATAACTCAAAACTACAATGTTCACATCCATTAACTCCAAATATCTCCAAATTCCACTCAGTTAAAGGATATCAACGTATATGGTGTTAAAACAACTTGAAGTTAAAGGATATTGTTTCGAGTTATGACTCATGTATGACAAGAATATGACCTGGAAAGCTCGTCCTGTTGAGCCTTGCTAGCAAAATTGAGGATAAACTTACGGTACTACCATGTATTTAATATGTATAGTTAACCCTTAAAACGTTAATAGGTGCTTGAATGGTCTGAATGTCGTAGATAACTTATCATGAAAGCTTGTGCTATCATGAATTATGCTAACTGCTATTCGTTTGCCATGGTAATTTAGTAGCAAAAAAATAGCTGATTTCCAAGCAGCAGGCCATGCATGGCCATGCAATATACCAACCAGATCCAACATGATCCAACCAGCTAGCTTTCGTAGCTTTCCCCCTGGCCGAACCACGCGAAACCTACACCCCATCCCACAGACATGGGACATGGTGCCAGGGCACACGGATAGTTGTCGCGAACTTGGGGAAGGAGGAGTTCAATGGACAGCTTTCAGCTCAGTGTCCTCCTTGCGCGCCTTTCCTCCGTGTCATGGTATTCTTTACATTACTTTCTATATAATGCTTTATTTTTACATTGTATATTATATTTTTTGCTTGCTTGGCTTGCTGGTTTGCTTGAATGAATTAATGAATTAATGAATCAATGAATTGATGCATGAATGAATGATTGATTTGCGGTAAACCCATGTACCAGCATGCAGCTGAAAGCAGAGAACGAAGGTGGACTCATCAATTCTAGTTTTTCCACACAGAAGAGCTGAGGATGGCGCAGATCAACGAAGTGGATGAATCCGCACAAAGAGACTCGCAAAGCAAAGAATTCCACAGCGAATCAACAGAAGTGCATTTGAAGTGCATGAACTTCGCAACTTTTCTAATGCTTCTGATGAACAAACTGTGATTTGCTGCATGTTTTGATTTCACACTCACCTTTGCTTGCAGATTCCTGGATATTTTTATGAGCCGAGGATACCAAGTGGCCTGCAAAAACGGAAAGGCAGGGGTGTAGCATTGCTAAAAGTTTTCGACCAAATTTATCATTGTCATTTTGTGTCACATTCTTCCGGTCAAAGCATGGCCTCAAGGCGACAGTTTGCCTTGCCTTGCCATAAGCCTCGCAGGTCATCAAGATCAAATTTGAGAATGTCGTTTGCTGAAGCTTTCAACTCTCAAAGGGAGTTGCCACAGAAG